TACATACATACATACATACATACATACATACATACATACATACATACATACATACATACATACATACATACATACACACACACACACACACACACACACACACTGCCTAGACAGCAAAAGGCCTGACAGCCATAGTAAGAGGAAAGTGTGACAGTAAGGGAGTGTGTGCAGACTAACTTATTCAACACTCTTGACTAGACACACACACACACACACACACACACACCTCCTTGGGAGGACATCAGTGAAGGTCCCCACACCCACACACACACACACACTTGGGGGCGGGCCCACCTGTCACTTTTTATGCATACTAATGTGATTGAAACAGCATTTATTTTATTTTTTTATTTTATTATACACCATAAGGCGCAACAGTGGGGGCTTTTCACACCTGTGAATACACATCACCCCCCTCCTATCGACGGATCTCACACCTACTTGGGATATCACACCTACTTGGGATCTCACACCTCGATCAAAGGGGAGGCGGGACTTAGCTCATTTGCATAATTGGGGGAGGTGTGCCCCTTCACTTTTGTATGCATACTAATGTGATGGAAGCGGGATGAATATTACTACTAGCAGCTATGTTGTGATCGACAGGTCTCTCCCACTGTGTTGTCGGCTTAGGATAATTATTTATACTTTTACCAGTTTGGTTAATTTAAACATTTTGGTTGCATAAATATTTTGTATTTAGTGTTGTACAAAGCTACAATGTAATCTCTGGTTCCAAAAAACCTTTTAATTTGTATTCTGAAATACATCCAACATTGTCCTGCTGTAGGATACCTCTGTAGGCTTCTCTGATGTGTATGAAGGTTCAGGCCCCACCAAAGCAACCACAAATGTTGATACTTTTTTCATAGCCTTCATTTTATTTGCATTTTATAGCAGTAATCCGGCCATCTTGAAAAGACAGTGAGCTTTGCTGTTTTTAATGGTACAGTAAACCACATCTGTACACTTTGCCTGAAATCCTCAGGATCAGATGGGCAGGGAGCTGGACTCCTGGGTGGGGCGGCCCCTGAGCTTTAAGCAGGACCACCAGCAGGAGACTCAGCACCTCCGCTCGGTCCTGTGGAGCCTGGCCACCAAGCACCTGTGCCGGGGGGAGTGGAAGATCCTGGCCCAGCACTGGGACTTAAGCGAGGCTCATATACGGGCTGTAGAACAACAGTGGACAGGTGGACTGCTGAAAGAGATTAAAACACACGTTAGATACAAGGAATACACAACTCTTTTTGGGCCAGTTTAGCCTTTATTAGAGAGATACATTTGAAGAGGACATAGAGGGTATGAGAAGCGTACTCAAACTTGCATCTTGGATTTAGTTTTCTTTTTTTAAATCTTGAAAATGTATTTGTAGCGGCAAAAATCATAAAGAAATAAAACATAAGTATAACTCAAAAATGAACTGCAAGGGCACCAGTAGGCAAATCTTACGCAGGGAAAATTAGAAGTCCAGGCAAAAGCATCCTTTTGTGCATTTATTTCTGATGATCCAATATCATACAGTACTCTACAGTTATAAATCTTGCCCCGTCTCTCCTCGTGGTTTCCCACCTCCACCTGTCTCCAATATATACGTGTTACCAGGTGCCCAAAACCACCTTCAAAATAAAAGCGTAGAGAATTACTTTAATTAACTCAATTTCACTGAATAATAATACATTCACTGTAAACCAAAAACACAAAAAAAAAAAATGTTTAACTATTAAATAATATACATTAAAATATTGCTCAGACAGTATTGATATGTGTTCTGATTCTATATCGAACTTGTAGGTATGAAAAGCTTCAAAGAGCACGGCCACAGGATGCTGTTAGTCTGGCTCCACGGCGTGGTGATGGCGGGGGAGAACCCGGTCAAAGGTCTCTACGAGGGGCTGGTGGAGATCTCACGGACAGACCTCGCAGGTGAGATCCTCAAACTGCACTGTGGCTTCTATTATTGTGAAACTGCCGCTGCTTTACAGAGCTCTGCATCTCTCATCTCATCTTCTACCACTTATTCGAGTCGTATAACTTCCCTTTGCCTGGCCCCACCAATCAGCTCTGACCAAGGGGGGATTCTTGTATCCGCAATCTTTTTCTTTCGGTCATGAATGCAGTCCCTGCATGTTTTTCTATATGCTGCTTAGTCTGTGAGATATGTGAGGTGTAGTCCACGCTGTCTCTCTAAAGTGAACCATCCAGTAAGCCAAAGATGACTCTACGACACTTTTAATGACAGAACCCTAATTTGCATAATGCAGTGGAGGTATGTAAAATAATTTATTTATCAAAGAAAACAAACAAATATACTTTTATTAAAATACATTAAGTAATGATCACATACATTTTATAACACATTGAACATTATGAAAAGTTAAATAATAAAGTTTAATTAATAAGCCAACTAAAAAACTATTTCAAATGATATCACAGTTTACCAATCAATTTTTGCTTAAATGTATTACTAATATATATCTGTATTTATTTATTTAAGTGCATTTAATGACAGAGGTATATATTAATCAAGTCATTTATATATTTGTATTTACTTAGCAGGTTCCGTCCTCCATACACATGTTCCAAAATGCTAATACTATATCAGATATTTTTTTATTTTTTCAATTGACTGTATGATATAAAGACTAAAGATTCTTAGTAAAAAATAAGTAAAGTTGTTTTAACTTGTCCAATTCCTTGCAGGGGCGTGAAGGTGTATAATTTCTTATTGTTTTTCTAATATCCAGAGTCCATCCGGCAGAAGGCGAACGCAGAGAGCTGCTCCCTCAAACTGTGCTCTGCTATGTGAGCCATGCTGAGGGGCTGTGGGGGGGACAGAGCTCTGAGGAACTGTCAATGCCCCAACTGAGCCCATGAGTAGGTTTGTATTGTCCATGGCCTGTTTACATTATTCACATACTCAATATACTTTGATTGTTCAGAATTTTATAAAAAGATGGTTTGAAGCCTGTGAAATATCTGTTTATAATGTAAAATAAAAATGTTCAAGGGCTTGAACGGTTACAACATTTCCTGTGAGCTGGGGCCTCATTTATAAAAAGGGATATACGCTCAAAAAATGGCGTACGCCAGTTTCTACTCAATGTTTGCGATTTATAAAATACTAACTTGACGGGAAAACGTGCGGTCCTCCACGCAAACTCTAACCCAGTGGTTCTCAACCTGTGGTACGCGTACCACTGGTGGTACGCCAGCTCCCGCTAGTGGTACGTGGAGGAATCTGACATATAACAAATATTTAAAAAAAATATATAACATTTTTTTCTTTTTCTTTTTTTTTTTACTTAAACGAGAACTATCATGCTATATTTGAATAATATATTGTAGGGCCATACCTATATAAGGTATATTTATAAGTTTTCTTTTTCAAAATATCAAACAGATCATGCATTTTAGCCATGCCTCATTTCGCTCTATTTTCCTCTCCTCCACCCTGTCTTTGGCTGCAGCTGACCACGCCCCCCTGCAAAGGAGGGGGCCGAGTTAAGAGCGTCATGTTACCATGCTGTTACCATGCCACGGCAACCTCTCATTCCCCTGATTAGTGGAGAGTTGGCCATATAGGCGGTAGGGGTTTCACAACTACCAATATTTACTAGTCGACACGTTTTTCAAAATAGCAGTCGACAAAGAGAGGTGTACAACTGTATTTTATATTGGAACTCATACAGTAACATTAAACACTGCATTTTAATTTGTGTTACATGGCTGAGTAAATAACAAACAACTGGACTCACCAAAATCGACAGCAAAAAACTCTTGTTTACATAAATGCCACGTAAATCCAGTGCGCAACAGCGCATTGCGCAACACTTTATTTGCTGTCCTCCACGATAACGTCCACCTTTCCATATTT